TGTATTAATTTATCTGATTAAAATCGCGGCAGAATTTACAGGTGAGTTTTACCGGGTCGCCGTCGGGGACGATCGTTTTCAATCGAGAAAGTGTTCGAGCTACGCGCGAGACACGCGCGTCGTTTGCAGGGTAAACCAGGGTACGCCATCGTTCTTTCAAATGCGAAAAACATACTTTTATCTTAACTTTTTTAACAACACTTCGAATATTACTTCACCGAAGCTTAAAGAAACGCTATCGACATTCAAGAAAAAATATGACGTATCAAATTTGTGTTATTAAAATATTACAACGCGAGCACTGGCCGTCTTTCCAGACTCGCAAGGAGAAGATGACTGTAGTACTATAGGATGGAAAAAGGGAAAAAAGTTAAAAAAATGGAAATAAAAATTATAAGTCACGTTACAATTTACTTATCTATGTTGTGTGTCTAAGGCCAATATTCACAGCCAGATCTTATATTCAAGACCGTTTTGAAATCGTCTTTAGATACTTCGTAGCCAAAAATGTTTCATACAGCATCTTTATATGAAATCAAGACTGTCTTGAATATAAGATCTGACTATGCATACGGGCCTAATATTGATTACCACAGCTTAATTGTAACTTATCCGAAACGTAGCGTTCTGTAGTGGACTCATTTTCTGCAAAAATTGAACTACGTTAAATATTGATTATCTTTGAGAAATATTACAAAAAACCTGTGCTATTTAGCAGTTAAAAAAAATTAAAATCTCTTCCGTACGGTAACACATTGGTTTACCCTAATGTTCTAAATCTAATGGATTTCTCTCGCGAAAGACGAGTGAAAGTAATTACGGATATAAGTACAGTAAACGATTAGGAAAGTTTAAATGGAAAAAAAAACTTCTCTTTACATGGTTATAATAGATAGAACTCATGACGGGGGAAAGAGAGCTCACTTTTCCGCAAGCCATAACATACAATAATACCCAAGAATATATACAGCGCAATTAAGTTCCTAATTGCTGAAAGAATCGCTGAACGAAAGCAGCGATGAAAGAGGAAAAGAATCGTCGGGCCATTATTTTCCCCCTTGCGCGAGGGAAAAACCCGCAGTTTCCCATCATGTGGAACAATCGCTTACTTACAACCGGCGGCGAGCCGTTAACGCCGCGGGGGAAAAGGGAAAAAGGTAACGAGTAAGTAGACTAATCTTTTCCAATGGTTACCTCCTCGCGGTCTTTCACCACCGGAGTCGAGTCGAGTCGCGCCGCGCCGCGCCGCGCCTTCGTACGCTCGAGGAGCGCATTGCAATCTCCCGACGGTGAGATCGTAATCCTTATTATCTTGATAGATGCGGCCCTCTCGTTAGCAACGATGTATTCTTCGCTCGGGCTTTACGAGCTGTAAAATAATTTAGTCGCGTACGTAGGTGCGCGCTGCTCGCGTGGTGCGTTGCACGTGCAGCGCGCGTTGCGTGCGGCGCGGCGTCCCGTTATAGACGGCTAGATACTCTGATCGACGCACCTTCGCGTATAAATATTTACGCATGCCAGGCCGGGGACTCGCGAGATCGCCTTCGGCGCGAGGAGACGCCGCGAGAGCGCGTTTCGCGAGGGAGATCTTGTACGAGATGCGACAGTCCCCTTGGGAAAGTATACCTTAGAAAAGTAAAGTTGGATACTTTAAACTTTTATTTAAGGTACACTTAAAGCTTACCTTAAGAGTTTAAAAGGAAACTGTAAGACTTGTGAAAGTTATGTGATATAATTTCTAATACCGCGTGCGGTTTTTCTTCTTACGAGAGAGGAAGTGCTATGAACTTTGACAGGCTTGGCTATCTAAAAATTACTTCAAGTGTCCAAAATTACTCTAAAATTCCTTAAGTAAACTCTTAGAAAGATTACTTTTAAAAACTTCAATTTCATATATTTAAGTGGCGTAGAGAAATATGCGCTGCTTGGTAAACAAACGAACGAAAAGATCCGAGTTGAAATCCACGGACACCGCTGGTTTTCTTCGGAATCTCCCGAAGAAAGGTGGCAACCACCGAGAGTATCTTGCCCCACACACATACCCTTTCACAGCCCTCCAGATGGGAGGTTTCCTGCGGCAAGGTTAGCAGCCCTGCCGATGATGAAGTAAAACCAAATGCTCAAAGTAGCAGAACGAGAACTGGATAAAACAGGCTTTAAGCCTAATACACGAGGAAGAAGAGGAATTTCATTTAAAGTTAAATTTTCCGAGGGGGTCAGGCTAGAGTCCCTCTAATCAGAGTCTGGCCAACAGGCAGTTTCGGCAAAATGATGCGAGAGAGGAAGAAATATAATATATTCCCTTTCACTCCCTACATGACGTATATACTGTATGTTGTAGTGCGAGAGAGAATATACATATATGTATATTTCTCTCTCTCGCATCATTTTGCCGAAACTGACCTGTTGGCCAGACTCTGATTAGAGCAACTCTAAGGGACAATTTCACAAACGTCGGTTAACTGTTAACCAGAGTTCAGTTAACTCCCTATCTTTTTCTATTTTGTTCTCTAAGAAGAGACAGAGGATCAATAGGCCCTAAGGCTCGGTTTCACCAACGTCGCTTAACTTTCAACTTAATTCGTTTTTTGGCTCTTTCCAACTGTTACTTCAGAAAGAGACAAACATGAATTAAACCGAGATTAAGCGACGTTTGATGAGACCGGGTCTAAGTCGAGCAGGACGCCCGCGCCGTAGGGAGAAACGGCGTTTTCTTACCGAAATGCACCTCGCATCGACACTTAAGCCGGGCTGTAAATCATCGTTAGAACCCGAGCTCTCTGGTATCGCGATGCGGTATCGCAGGCACCGGTAATCCGCGATTTCATGGCATATCTTTCCTCGCGAGGCGGTATGTAGGAACACCCGCGAGAACGTCGTGAGAGCCGCGATCCAATCGGCGAAATTGTGTGATAGTTCGCGGGCGAGAACACTGACGAATTTTCTCATAACAAATGGAACGGCGAACGCTATCTTGTTTCACCTCCTTTCTCGATACCATCGTTTTCCATCGCCACTTTGAAACTTAATTTCTGCGAGATATACTTGAGTATATTATATTTGTTAGATAAAAAGCAGTGAGCATTGCGCGAAAGCAAAATAAAGATGAAGAAAAGTAAGATTTGCAAAATAATTTCTATAACTTGTAATTAAGTATGTATTTAGTCAATTGTACTAATTAAAATATTTTTTAATGAAAACGACGAGGAAAATTATTATCTAATTGTCCTAGTTATCCATAGATTATTAACACTCCAAACTTAATCTTTATTATCTTAACAAACGAATGAAAATGCGAAACAAATGAATATGTAAATGAATCTCGCTCTTGGCGATACTGTATGACACTACTCTTGTTCGCTTAAAATGCTTGAAAATTTACGAGGAGCGTAAATGTGTGTGCCGGCGAATTTACGATACCAATTAGATCAGCTGTCCTTACCTAATGGAAGATAAAGCTAATGAAACTTCGATACCTCGCAAATATGACTACGTTGTGGCTTTTTGCTTTATAATATATACAGCAATGATCTGCTCTATGTATCGCATCTAACACCATATTTATCGGTACAGCGTAAATATAATATTGCGTTATCTGGCTTTCTGAATGCCCGGCATATATTTTGTACAAGTGCGTTTGGATGTATCGGTTTGTTTGATTTTTCAACTTATCTTCCGTAATACGTACTGCATTTATTCAGGGATTCTCGTTTACCATATCGTGTCAGATTAAAAATGTAGTATAAATGTATCGCGTCATACGTATATTACACACGCATTTACAATAATCCGATACATCCAAACGCACTTATACAAAATATATGCCGGGCATTCAGGAAGCCAGATAACGCAATATTATATTTACGCTGTACCGATAGATATGGTGTTACATGCGATACATAGAGCAGCTCATTGCTGTATATATTATAAGGCGTTGTACATTATATTATAATTCGTTTAAATTAACTGAAAATTTTAAGTCATTCTCCTAGGGTTATCTCCAAGACAGAGAATCTACATTAAATTCCAACTAATGCTAATTAAAGTCTATAGAAATGTCTGCAACAATTGTTCGTTAAGGAACAATTTTATTAAAAATTTGTATGGTGCCACGCTCAGAAAAAAGGGTTGTTTGAAATCGAACAAATTTGTTTGAATTTTGACCTAACTAGACTTTTATTTAATTTCAAAGAAACGATTTCTTTGCCTTGACCAAAATTTTATTTGATTGAGGCCGGAATTTGTAAATTTGTTCAAATCTAGCAAATATTTCAGTATAAGTGAATAAAAATTTAGTAGATTCAAAGAAATATGATTTCAACGCATCTCATTTGTTTAACCCAACTAAATTTTTTTTCTGGGTGCAATCATTACGCAAAGATTGTATGCTCTCCTGATTTTCGCGCACTTAGTTGGAAAGGCAAGGAATCTCCTCATCACATTGCGTGAATCGAAGCGTGGGGTGTTGTGTGTAAATTTGCAGGGATGGTTTTTTCGAGGTAATGGCCTCGTTCATCGATTGGCCACGCCCAGGCGGCCATTTTTGCCAAAATTATCGAATTCATAATTAATTAATGCTATCATTTTCCTCGGCAGTGTCGGCTGTATCAGCGGAAGCGAAATTTTTTACAAATTTTGCGAGCTTGTACACCGATGCGTACACTGATTGCGTGATTTATTCCTTTCACGAGTGCATGATACCATCTGCGAGAGTCGAAAGCAAATAATCTCGAAGAGATCAGTGTAAATTAAATTTTAATTAGGTGTAGTGCGCCGAATAATCGGGCCGAAAGGATCGGAATGACGTTTGTTATGTTCTTCCATGATCTTAAATATGTACCACGTAGGTATATAAATATATCGCGTGTGTCTATGCTCGTTTTAATAAGCCGATTAAGAGTCTTATCAAACCCAATTAGACGACATAGAGAGATCGATGTTTTGATCACACGCAAATGATTCTGAGTAAATAATCTGCTTGTAACCGTTTTCTGTTGCAGGTGAGTTTAACCCATAGTCTCAATCGCATGGTATTGCTGTTGCAGATCAAGAAACGAGATTCAGAATTCGCATGTCGCGGATTCACCTGTTCTCAACAGGCTGAATAACAAATACTGGTACGATTTTTATTTACAGTCATCTTGTGTGATTTATCATCTTTGAACGAATAATAATAAGAAACAGTTTACGCGAGCATAAATTACTAGGCATGAAACCAGAGACGTAAGGGAGACAATTAGATCTCGTTATTAGACATGTTATTAATTTCGTTAAATGTAAACGTTTAAAAAAATTAAAAAATTTGGGCGTGAATGCAATTGCAAATTAATATTTTATTTCGATGCAGTATAAAAGTCCTACGATCTGTTCGTATAAACAAATTAATATGCAAAGCATTGAAGTTAAACTGTTTCTTCTATCGCAATAAATCTTTAATCAAATTATATATTCAAATGTAATCTCGATATTGCTGGTTCATGCCCATTCAATTTTCACGGATTTATTCGGGTGGACAAGAGGAAAGACAAGATTATACACAAGATAGTGCGCCGTACGAATGTGCGCATCGTGTGCAATTAGCATTTACCAGATTAACGAAGCAATTAGAAGCTATCGTATCGGTGCGTTTAATCTTCCCTGACGACCGTGATCGGTTGGGCTGTTCGTACACCGTAGTTCGTACATCATTTTATTGGGATACATAGCCATGTGAAATACGGAAGGTTTTAAATGCGGTTAGACGCCAAGGATGCAGATAAGTCATTCCGTTTGATTTCTGTTCTGCAATCAAAATGTAAATCGTGTACTTCTGCTTTTCCGGATATCGCGGCATAAATTATGGGCGCGTGCATTTGCGACAGTCGGTTGTTTCAGTGTGATAAATGATAATGTTAGCCGCACCGGAAGGAATGTTTTACCTCGCGCAAATCGATCTTCTATCGCTACGCTTTGCTTCGCGATTTATGCGCGCTTTGGATTCTCCCTGCAAATGCCCGACAAAGACGCGTTACTTTGAATTGCCGTTCTATTACATTGAAATCGAAAAGTTGCTTGTTAATTTTTATAAAATCAAACTCAAATTTTACACACATACGTATCAATATCTAAATTAATTTTGCTGCAAGTTCAAAGAAAATCTGTAACTTCATCATTTTGTGACCCAACTACCTTGATCACAAATTTTTATTCACAACGCTCCAACAATGAATTTTCCACTAAACAGATTTCACTCCAAGGGCAATAAATTCACGATGAAACCAACAGACGATGCCTGTTAATTTAGCAAAAACCCTGCTCTCTCATAATAGGGGGGGATTCTCCTCTGTCATCGTAATCTCTCCCTCTTTTGTCAAGATACTTTGTTGAAAAAGGTAGTTTCATAATGCGCGGAAATGGCTATTGCGACCATCCTTGCCGTTTATATTGCCGTAGCCGCGCTACTAGGATCGGTTTTAACGACAGAACTGAAGCTATTATATCGGCGCGTTTGTCTCGTGCACAATGTTTCTAATATATGCGAACGTTACAATCCGACCAGACTGATACGCGACATGCCGCGGCGCGGCGACACCCAGTATCCGGCCTAAATATTTAGCACGGCCGATAATACACGCTCCAATGATCGCCATCCGCGGAATTCGTCGACCTTGAGGAATTCTCACTTCGGTTATCTTGTCACCGTGCGGTGATCGACGCGCGCTGGGAGAAATTTTTCCTCGTTCGCCATTCGCAACGCGTCACCTTTTTTTTCGATACGCTTGCAGATAAGAGCGAAACGTCGGGGCTTAGGGGAATGTTTACGATTCCCCGCGGCGAGGTATACGTACGCGTGGAATTTTATGCAATCGCACCTTGTCACGCCACGCGTAAATGTCCGTATAAATTATCTTGTAGGAAGTAACGCTTAGGCCGAGACGGCGAATGTTTAATAACGTTATGGTATTTAACGTTTCGATATCTTCATAAATGTATTATTCATGGATCTCCTTCTTTAATTATAAGTGGCATAAAGTAATTGAATTACGGTAATAAAACGCGAAAAAATATACTTCATGTAATTGGACGAATCTTACGAATGGGATAACGATCTGCGTCCAATTTCGTTTCAATTATTTCATACATTTGTTACCTTCGCGTGCGACAAACGTTACGACGCGTGAGGGAGGGATGCGATTGTTCTTTTCACGGCGAGAGCGCGAGGCATATTCGAGCGAGCACGAGTCACTACGGTAGTAAATAACGGCGGTGAAGAAAAGTTTGCGGTAAACCGCGCAAATGAGCGAGTCTTTCGCGCGGATCGGCCGAACCCTGTCCCGGCGATTCATCATTTTCTGAAGTGATCAACCTCACACGGGATCGTTCAGAGGTGCCTCTGGCGGACCGGACCTCGACCCCAATGATTATAACTCTCGTCTACTTTGCGGATACCTCCTCACCTATCCACCTTTCCTCCTTCGTTTCTTACTCTCTCCTTTTCCCGCCCTGGCATGCCTCCCCTCTCGGATTTCGTGTAATAGACCATGTGATGAAATACTATACATATATATTAATATGAAATATGTGCGTTCCGACCGTGAGTTCCTGGCAATTTATTCAAATTCGGTTTCGCGCGTAAATTGAATTTCACGAATCTGAAACGTGCGTATAATTTTTATTTGTCAAACGTTCGACTTTGTTGCAATAAACGTAAGATTATCTTGTTGCTTATCCTAAAATGAGATTGCGTAACGAGACGTACTATTATAAATGAGCTGTGAACGAGTTTGAATTTATTAAAGTCGAAATATTCTTAAATTTTAGACAAATTTTACTCTTTAATTTTCACTTCTCAAGTAACGAAAAAAAAAAGAAACATTCGGATTACATTTTTCATATCTCGCTCAAAGTGAGAGATAAACGTTCGTTGAAGTAATATGAGAAAATATCGGCGAGTTGTGACATAATTTGACGCTGACGTAAAATTTGCTTCAAGCGGAAAGAACAATTTTATTTCTTAATAAAGCTAAATGGAGCGTAAACATCTTTCTGCTCATTTGTTTGTCGGGCCTAAAGTTTATTGCGAGAACGCCGTCCGCTTTCTTTCCGTTTCACTTTTTCTATTCGTTTCGTTCGATGTAATAAGCGATCTGGTTGTAGGAAGGAAAACGCCAGCCATGGTGATATATGACACTAGATTTATAGGCGCCGTTTCGTTTATGCGTCTGAGATTTTCTCATGTTACAAAAACTTGAAAACATATTATTATCCGTGCAGAACTGTGATAAAACGAGAATAAGCCGTGATTCGAGTCAACTCTTCTACGCTTTCAACAATGTATATAAAAGAAAACATATATTATAATATTACCATGTTTACATTTATTTATATTTTTTCGCTCAAATTGTAGTAGCAATTTTTTTAGCATTATATTTTATTATTTCTATAAAATACATAAAACATTTAGATATATAATTTACAAAGCAAGAAAATGACGTTATGTACGGTTTAAAAAAAATTACTCACGTTTGAAGAGATTTTAAGACTTGATTTTACGTAAGATTTTACAACAGAGATTACGCCAAGTTGTTGTCAAATTTAAATCTATGCGATTTTCTGATATCCTCAGATAATTTTGTAGAATGTAATCGACATGCAAAAAAATCGCGCTTTGGAATTAATTTCTGATTACTGCCTTATTGCATCCGCATTTATCTCTGACTAACACAATACTTCTCGGCTTTCTACTCGATCTGCTTGCCCTCGCAACATCTTCCTCGGGTGTTAAATTACATTTATACATATATCTTGATTTCTTTTCTTACGATTACAGTAAAGCGCGTTGTCCGCCGTGGATTTTCCCGCTAATTGGATTTCTCCGTGCGGGCCAAGAGGTCGTGCACAACCAATTTGTTCTTGGCACGTGTTTAACATAGGCTCCCTTATTATTAATTAGTTCCAGCAACATCTTCATCCCATTTATATACCTTCAATTATGTGCGCATGGATCGGCGCGCCGATGACAGATTATGGCCATAAATCACTTCATTACGCGGCGATTCCCCCGCAATCGCGCGGCTAGAAATAATTAGCAATAAATTGTCCCACTGCCAATATAACGCCTCACTTTCCCGGGATTATTCGCAGCGACGCGGCACGTAACTTTATTAAACGCAAATGCGTAAAGCCGCGAAAGGTTTCGGGGGTCAAATCTTACGTTGCGTGCCACGAGTAACGTGCAACTAGTCATTCGATAAACCATTCGTTGCGTCGTTCCTTTTATAATTAACGTATCGTACGGAAGATTAATGTCAGTGCGATTACGATAGTGGTTTTCGTTTTATTCGCGCATGACCGATCTAATGAGCCTTAATGCTCTCGCGCGAACTCTTTTCGATGCGATATTATTGCCGCGCCGCTATAAAATCGTTCTTCTAATCCTTCATTATATACGGTATGTTTTATACTATATACACACCTATTTATCTATCCAGATACATAAAATAGAGAGGGAGGGGGGTTAGAAAATCTCGATCGTATTTTGTGCGGTGGATTTTAGTCATTTATTTATTTACTTTTGTATAGTATTGTATGTTTTTGCTAAATCCAATAGTGATAAACACAATTTAAATACGTACGCGGAGAGAATTTTCTCCTAAAATTTACCCTGAAAATCATGTAATCGTGGGGCAACATGGCATTTTGAAGAAATTTGTGAGAGTTTTCTGAAACTTTACCATACATTTTACTGAACTGTGTACTAATCTTATTAAACTGTGCACTAATTGTAAGTCTAATTACTAGTAAAATGTATGGTCAAATTTCAAAAAACTCGCATGCAGTTTTTCAAAATGCCATGTTGTCCCACGATTACACGATTTTCAGGGTAAATTAAAACAAAATTCTCTCCGTGTACTAAATTTAAAATACAATTACACATTTTCATAATCTTTATTCCCACCTGTGCATCGATGAGTTTCAGGCTGTAGTTCACTCAGCTTCTATAGAAGTTGTAGTACATACATATAGCCTGAAACTCAGTGATTTGCATAGATGAGAAAAATGATGATAAAAATCCAGGCATTAATGAATAAGACTGTACATATACACATATGTCGAGTTAATTAGAATGCTATTCGCGAGCAGAGATTTAATGAAATAACGATGCAAGGTGTATTTTTTAATTTACGACACACAACGATCTCTAGATATCAGGCAACCAAGAAAGTTCGTGCGGTTTTTAAAACTGCCGCTACTTCTCGTGCTGTAATAATCCCATCTACCGCTAAGGGTACATATATTAAACATTTTCTGAAAGTTTATTTATCGGCACGTCGGCCAACGTAGAGAACAGGTCGCATTTTACAGTGAGAGTTCAGAAATTCGAAGTTAAGTATGTCTGTGTCCAACGCAGTTATTAGGGCTTGTTTATTGTACTGTACCCCCTCCGAACGCTCCACATATTTTTCTTGCTGCTTCGGCACCTTTTGTGCCCAATTTGAACTCGTACAATAAACAAGCCCTAATAACTGCGTTGGACACAGACATACTTAACTT